GTGCTGTGAGAGTGATTCGTGATCTCCCAAGCACCAAACTGGTCGTCCAGCTGGTGCTGTGAGAGTGACTCGTGATCTCCCAGGCACCTGGGAGACTGTTGGTTAATCTGACGTAATAGTCTAGTAAATCAACTCTAGCACAATAATATCATTACACAGAGGAAACATAAGTGACACTGAAAGACACCATCAACCAACCACCTCCTTCACCTATCAATCACTAATTGACGACCAATTAAGCATAAATTACGTGTTAACTACACTATAGTGTGTGAGAGCTCTTTCCTCCCCCCTCTCCTAAGGCGTGATTAGCGCCCCGCGTCACCAATATTGTCATGGAAACGGTCACGCAATATTTCTCGTCTCCATCTTCATTTTAAAATTTGTTCTTCTGGTAAAAGGTCAAACGAGTCTGGTTGTGTTAAAAGGCGGGAAATGGCCGAGCAGATGACGGTAATTTCTCTCTCCCTACATGCAGGGTTTTTACTTTATATTTTAACAACTCTCGTCGGGTTAATGTGGACCAGTTTGTTAGTAGCAAAATGTTAATATGTGTGTGTGTTAATGTTTGTAGGTTCTTACTTTACCTTTAGTGTGAAGGTTATGGTTGTTTAGTACGAACAGTTAAGATGGTCTACGAGATTAGTCCCACCGGTCACCAGTCTCACCGGTCACCAGTCCCACCGGTCACCAGTCCCACCGGTCACCAGTCCCACCAGTCACCAGCCCCACCAGTCACCAGGCCTACCGGTCACCAGGCCTACCGGTCACCAGCCCCACCAGTCACCAGTCCCACCGGTCACCAGGCCTACCGGTCACCAGTCCCACCAGTCACCAGCCCCACCGGTCACCAGGCCTACCGGTCACCAGGCCTACCGGTCACCAGGCCTACCGGTCACCAGCCCCACCAGTCACCAGGCCTACCGGTCACCAGGCCTACCGGTCACCAGACCCACCAGTCACCAGTCCCACCAGTCACCAGGCCTACCGGTCACCAGACCCACCAGTCACCAGTCCCACCAGTCACCAGGCCTACCGGTCACCAGGCCTACCGGTCACCAGGCCTACCGGTCACCAGCCCCACCAGTCACCAGTCCCACCGGTCACCAGGCCTACCGGTCACCAGTCCCACCAGTCACCAGTCCCACCAGTCACCAGTCCCACCAGTCACCAGTCCCACCAGTCACCAGTCCCACCAGTCACCAGTCCCACCGGTCACCAGGCCTACCGGTCACCAGGCCTACCGGTCACCAGCCCCACCAGTCACCAGCCCCACCAGTCACCAGTCCCACCGGTCACCAGGCCTACCGATCACCAGTCCCACCAGTCACCAGCCCACTCTTACATTAAGCCATTAACCCCCCCCCCCCCCACCTCCCCCCGGCTCAATTGTAACGTCTGGGACTGGCACAATGATCAGTCCTTCCAAATATGTACTATAAATACGTCCAAAGTCAATGTAACCGAACACCTTACCAAACCCTACCTTGAGTTAATCCACATTATACAATAATAGTATTTATATTACAGAAAAATACCTTTGTTATTACACCTTATGAAAGCTCCATCCCAGCAACTGGAGACCAGATATGTCAGTCAAATACTCATCATCTACGTAAGTCAGTACTTCAGTAAGTCTTGCAGTATACAGTACACAAAGGTAAGTCAAGCACTGTTATGGAATACAGACTTTCCATTGTCTAATTCAAGAGTTCATTAATGTAATTTATATACTGATTGCTTTGTGATTTTTCCCCAGGTGTGAGGGAGGGTGATCCATAAGTAATGTCCTCACTACATCACCCACCTGATTCATCAGTGAGGTCCTGCTGGCCACACACACACACACACACACACACACACACACACACACACACACACACACACACACACACACACACACACACACACACACACACGGGTTAAGGAACAGGTTAGGAGAGGAAACTTTCAATTAACGTTTTTCATAACGTTTTGAAACTTTATGAGAATTTCCTGTTCACCTAAACTATCAGAGGACCCTTAACTTACTGTTGTTGAACAAAAAAATCCCAAATTTATTTTCATTTTTTTTCATTTTCAAATTACATCTACTTTTGGCCAAACGGGCAAACGGCCAAAAGCGACGTTATTTTTAAGAGGACAGGTTAAGGGAACACTGTGGCGGGCCAGGAAGTTCACTCACTGCCCCTCTTGAGGCTATCTTGAGATGATTTCGGGGCTTTAGTGTCCCCGCGGCCCGGTCCTCGACCAGGCCTCCACCCCCAGGAAGCAGCCCGTGACAGCTGACTAACACCCAGGTACCTATTTTACTGCTAGGTAACAGGGGCATAGGGTGAAAGAAACTCTGCCCATTGTTTCTCGCCGGCGCCTGGGATCGAACCCAGGACCACGGATCACAAGTCCAGCGTGCTGTCCGCTCGGCCGACCGGCTCCCCCTCTCTCCATCTCACACCCCAACCCGTCCTCTCAAATAACAGGTCGTGTTGTTTACGTTACGCTAACCAACGTAACAAATGCAACCTACTATGGCAAGTAACGATATGCAAATATTTATGTTTTCTATGCCTCGGACTCGATAGGTTAGGTGGGTTGCTTGGGTTCGTACTATTCCGGGTAAGTTAGGAGGTTGGATTTTTGACGGAGTGGCAAATCATTATGAGAATGTGAAGAGGAAATTCGTCATTATATAACTTGGTAACAGAGTTAAGAATAGGAAAATATATTTTTGTATTTCAAGCATTCACTGTTAAGAGGCTGATCATCATACTCTGTGGACGATGGTTGAGGCTGTCATCAATACAAGGCTGGGAGGAACAGGGGTCAATACAAGGCTGGGAGCAACAGGGGTCAATACAAGGCTGGGAGGAACAGCGGTCAATACAAGGCTGGGAGGAACAGCGGTCAATACAAGGCTGGGAGAAACAGGGGTCAATACAAGGCTGGGAGGAACAGCGGTCAATACAAGGCTGGGAGAAACAGGGGTCAATACAAGGCTGGGAGGAACAGGGGTCAATACAAGGCTGGGAGCAACAGCGGTCAATACAAGGCTGGGAGAAACAGGGGTCAATACAAGGCTGGGAGAAACAGGGGTCAATACAAGGCTGGGAGAAACAGGGGTCAATACAAGGCTGGGAGCAACAGGGGTCAATACAAGGCTGGGAGGAACAGCGGTCAATACAAGGCTGGGAGGAACAGGGGTCAATACAAGGCTGGGAGGAACAGCGGTCAATACAAGGCTGGGAGCAACAGCGGTCAATACAAGGCTGGGAGGAACAGCGGTCAATACAAGGCTGGGAGGAACAGCGGTCAATACAAGGCTGGGAGAAACAGGGGTCAATACAAGGCTGGGAGGAACAGCGGTCAATACAAGGCTGGGAGAAACAGGGGTCAATACAAGGCTGGGAGGAACAGGGGTCAATACAAGGCTGGGAGCAACAGCGGTCAATACAAGGCTGGGAGGAATAGCGGTCAATACAAGGCTGGGAGGAACAGCGGTCAATACAAGGCTGGGAGCAACAGCGGTCAATACAAGGCTGGGAGGAATAGCGGTCAATACAAGGCTGGGAGGAACAGCGGTCAATACAAGGCTGGGAGCAACAGGGGTCAATACAAGGCTGGGAGGAACAGGGGTCAATACAAGGCTGGGAGGAACAGCGGTCAATACAAGGCTGGGAGGAACAGCGGTCAATACAAGGCTGGGAGGAACAGCGGTCAATACAAGGCTGGGAGGAACAGCGGTCAATACAAGGCTGGGAGCAACAGGGGTCAATACAAGGCTGGGAGGAACAGGGGTCAATACAAGGCTGGGAGGAACAGCGGTCAATACAAGGCTGAGAGCAACAGGGGTCAATACAAGGCTGGGAGCAACAGGGGTCAATACAAGGCTGGGAGCAACAGGGGTCAATACAAGGCTGAGAGCAACAGGGGTCAATACAAGGCTGAGAGCAACAGGGGTCAATACAAGGCTGGGAGCAACAGGGGTCAATACAAGGCTGGGAGCAACAGGAGTCAATACAAGGCTGGGAGCAACAGGGGTCAATACAAGGCTGGAAGGAACAGGGGCCAATACAAGGCTGGGAGCAACAGGGGTCAATACAAGGCTGGGAGCAACAGGGGTCAATACAAGGCTGGAAGGAACAGGGGTCAATACAAGGCTGGGAGCAACAGGGGTCAATACAAGGCTGGGAGCAACAGGGGTCAATACAAGGCTGGGAGCAACAGGGGTCAATACAAGGCTGGGAGCAACAGGGGTCATTACAAGGCTGGGAGCAACAGGGGTCAATACAAGGCTGGGAGCAACAGGGGTCAATACAAGGCTGGGAGGAACAAGGGACAATACAAGGCTGGGAGCAACAGCGGTCAATACAAGGCTGGGAGCAACAGGGGTCAATACAAGGCTGGGAGGAACAAGGGACAATACAAGGCTGGGAGGAACAAGGGACAATACAAGGCTGGGAGCAACAGGGGTCAATACAAGGCTGGGAGGAACAAGGGACAATACAAGGCTGGGAGCAACAGGGGTCAATACAAGGCTGGGAGGAACAAGGGCCAATACAAGGCTGGGATATAAAGCAAGTTAGATAATGAAATCATTATAACACAGAAACAGCAACGTCTAAGACCTGCGAGATAGTACGAGAATTTCTCCCTCTCTGAACTACTTATGTTCTTGAAGGTGAACAAGAACACAAGCACACCTGCACACCTACTCAAGCACACCTGCATCGCATAAGGCCTGGAGGAAACACACGTGCATGGGAAAATAGACTTACAGACGCCACAACAGGGCAAATGTCACCAGTGTTGGGAAAATGCCACATTTCTCGGAGGAAATCAATCTCACAGCAACATTACCACCGAGATTTCACAATGCAGTTCTGAACCCCATCCGCCGCTTACTGATAAGATCCACACACAGCCCCAGCTGGAGTGTCTCACGCTGGAATATCCCTGGAAAACAAATGCAGTACAAACTGGGAGGAAGAGGGAACACTTACGCAATAGCCTCGATCATGTCGAGTCCCATCTCGACGCAGCAGTGCGCGTGGTCCGGTCTGGCCTCCGGCAGTCCACTGACGCAGTAGTAACAGTCCCCCAGCAGTTTGATCCTCAGGCAGTGGTGCTCCGCCGCCAGCCGGTCAAACCTGCCTCACGCACACAAAAATGTATAAGTTTATATTAATGGTGTATACTGGCAGCAGGTTTTCTTTTAAACATGTCTCACTGAATATGACTGAATATTCTGTATTTACTATCTTCTGATTTAGGGCTTCTATCCCTCTGACTATTTTCTTAGCATCAGGGCTTAGCTGAAATTTCATATTTCAGCTAAGCCCTGATGCTAAGAAAATAGTCAGAGGGATAGAAGCCCTAAATCAGAAGATAGTAAATACAGAATATGCGGACATATTCAATGAGACATGTTTATATTACTGTACACACGACCCGAGATGAGAGCCGTCTTTATTGTGTGGATGAGATGTTGTATGTAAGGGCTTTGTCCCAGCTGACGTAGCCGTACAGGTAAAACATCTACACATTAATGTGTACTCTCATCTCCGTGTTCACACTGCTGTCAGCACTCTGCTCTTCACTACCTTATAGAACTACCTGTAACTATTTACTACTGCGATATTACACGATAAACTCTTAAAGTATAACATCTATCAGTGACAAGTTTGGCCAGGTTTTTACTCTTTTTCACTTTACAGTGAAAACTTTAGTGTCTCTCAGGTGCTGAGCTGTTTCCGTCAAGATATTTATACTGGCTGTTTAGGTGCTGTTTCTTGATAACACATTAAGGCCACTCCCAAAAATACCTGATCTGAGGATTATATTTGGCGGGACGTGAAGATAAACAACACCAGGCCTGAGGAATGATATTGTATTTGATTTGATTATAATATTATTTTCTACCACAGACGTGGCCACACATTTACAATGCTAACCAGCATATATATATATATTTTCTTCTGTCCTCCATGGACAGAGTGAGAGATGTGTTAAACATATAGTTCAGGGGTTTATTGAACAATCAACCACAGAAGGTGATTCGGTGCTTATGGGCCGCCATACCCGTCGTGAGTTACAGTGTTATGTAATGGGTTCAGGAACTGTACCCTAATGGTCTAAGGAATTTACATTTAAGGTGCATCAGTTAATTATAATTTGCTTCATATACTTGATCAAATTACATCAGGTCCTAATTACTATCTTGAGCAATAAATGGTTGTATATTATAATTTACTTAGGCCACTTGTTTACAGAATTAGAGTACATTATTCATTCATAAAATATAAAGGTAATAATGATAGCCTAACCTGAGAGAGAGATCATCATAATTGTACAATATGTATAATGAAAACAAGTCTATTCATTATAACACGACACTCAATAAATTAGAGACTCCAAATAAAAGTGTTTAGTGTGTTAAACACAGAGTGTATACTCACTACTGCCCCACACACACACACACACGCACGCTTCCAACACCATCACCTGACAGTGTACCACACCATGACCCACCACCATCACCTGACACTGTACCACACCATGACCCACCACACCTGACAGTGTACCACACCATGACCCACCACCACCATCTGACACTGTACCACACCATGACCCACCACCACCATCTGACAGTGTACCACACCATGACCCACCACCACCATCTGACAGTGTACCACACCATGACCCACCACCACCATCTGACAGTGTACCACACCATGACCCACCACCACACCTGACAGTGTACCACACCATGACCCACCACCACCATCTGACAGTGAACCACACCATGACCCACCACCACACCTGACAGTGTACCACACCATGACCCACCACCATCACCTGACACTGTACCACACCATGACCCACCACACCTGACAGTGTACCACACCATGACCCACCACCACCATCTGACTGTGTACCACACCATGACCCACCACCACCATCTGACAGTGTACCACACCATGACCCACCACCACACCTGACAGTGTACCACACCATGATCCACCACCACACCTGACAGTGTACCACACCATGACCCACCACCACCATCTGACAGTGTACCACACTATGACCCACCACCACCATCTGACAGTGTACCACACCATGACCCACCACCACACCTGACAGTGTACCACACCATGACCCACTACACCTGACAGTGTACCACACCATGACCCACCACCACCACACCTGACAGTGTACCACACCATGACCCACCACACCTGACAGTGTACCACACCATGACCCACCACACCTGACAGTGTACCACACCATGACCCACCACCACCACACCTGACAGTGTACCACACCATGACCCACCACACCTGACAGTGTACCACACCATGACCCACCACACCTGACAGTGTACCACACCATGACCCACCACACCTGACAGTGTACCACACCATGACCCACCACACCTGACAGTGTACCACACCATGACCCACCACCACCACACCTGACAGTGTACCACACCATGACCCACCACACCTGACAGTGTACCACACCATGACCCACCACCACCACACCTGACAGTGTACCACACCATGACCCACCACCACCACACCTGACAGTGTACCACACCATGACCCACCACCACCACACCTGACAGTGTACCACACCATGACCCACCACCACCACACCTGACAGTGTACCACACCATGACCCACCACCACCACACCTGACAGTGTACCACACCATGACCCACCACCACCACACCTGACAGTGTACCACACCATGACCCACCAAACCTGACAGTGTACCACACCATGACCCACCACACCTGACAGTGTACCACACCATGACCCACCACACCTGACAGTGTACCACACCATGACCCACCACACCTGACAGTGTACCACACCATGACCCACCACACCTGACAGTGTACCACACCATGACCCACCACCACCACACCTGACAGTGTACCACACCATGACCCAGACATCAACACGCACACATAATCGTGCACGAAAGGCATCAATTTACCCCTCCCCCCCATCTCTCCCTCGCACGGTTATGTCAACAATGACAACTTTCCCCAGTAATGCCGTGATCATGTGCTCTCTCACACATCATCTTGTGAGAGTAAAGGTTCCACCGGCTAATTACACCATAAGTCGACATGGTATTGTGCATGTGTGGTGCCAGAAGATGGGTCGTGTAGTGTGTGGTGCTACACACGAGGTGTTGCGTGTGGTGACACACACGAGGTGTCGCGTGTGGTGACACACACGAGGTGTCGCGTGTGGTGACACACATGAGGTGTTGCGTGTGGTGACACACACGAGGTGTTGCGTGTGGTGACACACACGAGGTGTTGCGTGTGGTGACACACACGAGGTGTCGCGTGTGGTGCCACACACGAGGTGTCGCGTGTGGTGACACACACGAGGTGTTGCGTGTGGTGACACACACGAGGTGTTGCGTGTGGTAGATGTAAAAGTAGTATATTGTAATAGTGGTATTGGTGGTAGTATTGGTAGTGTGAACAAATAAATCACATTAACGTGTTGTATCAATGAGAAAATCCCATTTGTAATAGTGGTGTTGGTGGTAGTATTGGTAATAGTGGTTACCTTGCGGTTACCTTATGTTGGTTCCGAGGACCACCGTCCCCGCGGTGTGACTAGGCCTCCTTGGTAGTGATGTGGTCAACTGGACTGTTAGACGCGGCTGTTCCCAGCTTGACATAGGAATCACAGCCCGGTTGATCAGGTATCCATTGTAGGTGATTATAAAGTTGTCTCTTGAATATCGTGAGAGGTCGGCCATTGTCACATGTTTAATGAGAGAATGGTAAACAGTCTCGGGTCCTTCATGTTGATGGAGTTCTCTCGCGGCGTATATATTGAGCCTCTGCTGCTTTTCAAGGGAGGTATTTTTCACAGCTCGCCATGCTTCCAGGTCAGTGTCCACGGTGGAGTGAGGGCCTGGATCTTAATGCCCAGCCTATCTGAGCCTTGTTATCTTATCTTGAGATGATTTCGGGGCTTTAAGTGTCCCCGCGGCCCGGTCCTCGACCAGGCCTCCACCCCCAGGTAGCAGCCCGTGACAGCTGACTAACACCCAGGTACCTATTTTACTGCTAGGTAACAGGGGCATAGGGTGAAAGAAACTCTGCCCATTGTTTCTCGCCGGCGCCTGGGATCGAACCCAGGACCACAGGATCACAAGTCCAGCGTGCTGTCCGCTCGGCCGACCGGCTCCCGATTGTTACCTGGGGCATTAAACTTAAACCATTCTGACGGTCGACTTCTTGGTCTAATGTGACCTTAAAGCTGTCGATGGAGGCGACTTTCGCAGCAACTTCGTCACTCGGTGTGTTCCATTGGTTGACCACTTGCACAGACTAAATATTTCATTATAGTTCTTCGATTCACTTGCGTTCACAGCTTTCACTTATGCCGTCTTGTTGTACTTTCTCTCAACTTTAAAAAACTGTTCTTATCCACCTGATTCTATCCTCCCTCGGTATCTTGCATGTTGCAATCATATCCTTTGTTTCTTCTCTCTAGGGTGGTCAAATTTAGCTCCTTGAAGCTATTCTGGTAGCATAAGCCTCTTAGTTCAAGAGTTCTGGAGATGGTGGAGGTTAGGCACAATCAGAGAACACTGTATGAACATCAGAGGTCCACGGTTGTTCAACGTCCTACCAGCGAGCATCAGAAATATTGCCGGAACAACCGTGGACATCTTCAAGAGAAAACTAGATCATTTTCTCCAAGCAGTTTCTAACCGTCCATTTTTTGCTCTATTATATCTATGACATGTATTTCTCTTTAACACACGGGCGGGCGCTGTGACTGTACCAAACTTGTAAGTCTGTCATCGCTGAAGACCTGTTATCTTATAGCTCCCAGTACCTCAGGTGACACTGAAATATAACTTGAAAACCTCATCAGTTTCCCTGACAAACACATGTAACAGAAATTTAAAATAAATACAAGTTACGAGTAAATACAAGAATGGGAGTATACTGTTACCCTAATGTATTCCAGTAACTGGAAGGGCTTATGTAGTTACTGTAATGTATTCCCGCAACTGGACAAATGGGTTTGTGTTGGTACACACCTGTAACAGTTGTGTACTGCCAGGTTTTAGCAGCAGGAAACATAAGCGCAAGAACACT